ATTTCCCTTCCCCTACCCTCCGATTGCCAGCAATGATTATTTCTGATTTTATGACTAAGCTAAGCCTGTAAGCTCTTTCAAACAGGAACAATTAGTAAAATTTTCCCTAAATCCTTTTAAGTCATTTTGGTGCTTTTGAAAATGTTCCTAGTGTTCTATATTATGTGAGGTGTCTCAAATATAATAGATGCCCTATAATGAAATTGGATTAACCTGAGTAAAAGAAAGAAAGAAAGAAAGAAAGAAAGAAAGAAAGAAAGAAAGAAAGAAAGAAAGAAAGAAAGAAAGAAAGAAAGAAAGAAAGAAAGAAAGAAAGAAAGCTGCTGCTGGCAATCCAAGCAGCATGTGCAATATATAGACATGTGGCCACATTCATCCTGGTGTAACCCAATTAATTTCAATTCCAAACTCCTAAAAAGACTCCAGACTTCAATGGAGTTCTACCAGGGTTGAATTTGGCCCATATTTTTTTTCTGTTTAGTCACAGGATAGGAATGTATGATAGAAGTGCATGCTGGGCATTAGTTTCAATAGAACTCCATCTCTCAACAAACCTCCCAAAGCTGGAAAAAAATACATATGAATCTAACTTTCCAGACTCCATTACATCTACTGGACCAGATGCTCCTCTCAGCTGCACAGGTCTGAATCTGAAGTAACTCCTTTCACTTTGGTGCATGCAAATGGAACCCACTGTGCCCAACAATAACAAGCACACACAATATTTTCCAAGTTTGAGTGAATCAGGCTTTAAAATATGAGTTAGGTAAGAATACTAAGGTAAAATATTTCCATTTTACAGATAAGGAAACTGAGGCAGACAGGTTAAGTGATTTGTTTGCAGTCCTGCAGAGCAGGGACTAAACTTCAGGAGTTTCTGGTTCACTGACAGGTATTCAGCCAAAGCCATCCTGCTTCAAGATGCAGCACTGTTACCAAGTAGTGTGCACTCTCTGACATGGTTAGGCCCATGGGAAGCGGGATTAATATGCAAATCAAGCAGAATTTTCGAACAAGTGAACTCTGCTACCTTCTGTGAAGACCTATGCAACACTGCTCTAGCAAAGTATTTGTTTGTCCTATAAAGAGTTTCAGTTAGGCTTTCACTCTTTTTTTCTGAAGTCAGTATCTGGGCTTCATTCTGCAGACCTTATTGGTGCTTCAGTGAGAATCAGGCCTCAGTGAACTCTGCAGAATCAGGCCCATAATACCGTGTAACTACATTTCATGAACAGGAAAGGGATTAATGGAATGTAGAAAAAATTTGACAAGACACCTTTACATTTTAGTCTGAAACTGGAAATGGGAACATGCTCTTCTTTTGTAAATCCTGAATAAAAGTGTCAACTAGAGTCTGATGCTGTACTCAGGCACAATTCCCATTGAAGGATATTTTTAGGGAGAAAAATGAAACCTGTGAAAATACTGTATAGAGAGGTTTGATTCTAAGAAGCCCAACCTAGTTCTACAGCAATTATCAACTATGAAAAGCATTCAAACAAACAAAACAAAACTCAACACATGGGTAATTAATCATTGAAATGACCCGTATGACTGATGAAAAAACGCCCATCTCCAATCTGGCTTCCCTCACTCATTTGGGGAGTTCCTATTATTTATCTGCTAAAAGTAACAATCTCTTCTTTGCTATCATCTTCTGCACGAATGGAATCGCTGCGTTTGCCCTCCTGGATGTAAACCAATAGAGGAAACTGACAGCATGTGACCTTGCCCGGCATGCCAGCACAATTGGGAATGAGCCTTGAAGGAGATTAGTGTTTACATTGACTAATCCCGCCGTCTGTTCACAGAATCTATTTACCCGGTATAAAGGCACAATAAACCGGCAATTCCGATGGGTATCAATTGGGGGGAGAGGGGGAGAGTGTATTCTACATGAAATTGCTCAGGGAAATTCTGTACAGTTTACATGTCTGCAATCAAAACACCAAGATGCGCTATCTCCCCTCTTCTTTCCGCCTCTCCCCCCCCCCAAAAAATGCTTGCGATTAATACGCAATAGATCGGATTTTTTACCTCTCAGGGGGCTTTCCTCCCTACGGAATTCAGGGGGTCCGAATCAGAGACAAGAACAGGGGGCAGCCAGCGTGGGAACTTTCATCTGAGTAATCACCCCCTTTGGCACCGAAGTAGAGACTGACTTGTATGTATTACCTAGACTCGCTCCAGGACAGAGTCGTTCGCCTCAGCTCCCCACGAAAAATAAACCCC